ATGCTGGTTGCAAACACTAGCTACCTGCGTGTAAAAGGTAGACGATGCTGGTTGCAAACACTAGCTACCTGCGTGTAAAAGGTAGACGATGCTGGGAAAGGCCAGCGTTCACGTCCTCTCACTCCTCTGTAACGGAATGCAATGGCTAAGCTCACCGTTGACTCTTTTCGTGGTTTCCCGGTGAATTTTAGGATAGAGATTATAGCATCCAGTGACATGGTTTTCATCTCACTCAGGGTCCTGCACCTTTCTTTCACAGGACTCCGGACCTCCCATTGTGCTCACTGCAATGTCCAGCACTGCACACTGGCTTGTTCCAGTAAGTTTACCTTTCATAGCTCATTCCAAGTCATCATGCTAGAAATGACTTTCTTGATCATCGCTCTTTGCCAGATACCACTCATCATTGCTCATGGGGGGTGGGGAGAGGAATCACTGAAAGTTCCAGAGTGCTAGATAACTTGGATCAATGTTTCAAGGGGGGGAAAGGGGGTTTCCCTGAGAGCACAATAAAGATGACAATAACCATCTCCCCAATTCATTGAGAATGGCTCCCTAGAATCCCGAGGAAGAGGCTGGCTTTTGCAAGGAAGAGTGCAGTGAGCTGTCACTGATGGCCACCCAATGGTAGAAAGAAATTGTGTATGATTTGTGGAAAGCGAGCTACATGTTTGCCTCCTCCTGCCCATGTCCAGCATTGGTTTTATTTCCGCAGAGGAGTAGGGATGGAACGGTAACTGAACCCGATTCCTTCTTCCTCTCAGGTTTCCTTCATGAGTGATAATGTGGCACACAGAAATGAGCACACATCTGGCTGTCCAACACACTGATTCTGGTTTCAAACAGCACCATTCACTGACTCATCTTCAGGAATTAAAAGAAAAGAAAAAAAGAATATCTCTTGGAAACTTTGAATATAGGGTTAAAAGTATCAAGATGACAAAATATGTGCCTGTTATAAATACACACACACATACACACAAGGACAGATTACATATATATATATAATATATATATTATATATATAATATATATATTACATACTGGAAACCTAGTATGTATGTATATATATGTGTGTATATATATATACATACATACTAGGTTTCCAGTTGGATTTATTTCAAATAAAATGTGACATAGGAAACACATGATTGTGAGGTCAGGGAAACTATCACATTTTTAACAAAATTCAAGTGGATCTCTTCTCAAATCCCTGAAGCTTTGCAGTAAGATAACAAGAATCTTGCTGCACCACATAAACAACAGTTTTTAGATGGAGCAAGCATTTGAAGGAAGGTCAGAAGGACCTCAAATTTGGGCCATGGGAGGGAAGACTGCCACCCTGGTTGAATGAAGAAACTCTGACTGGGGTCCAGGAACGAGTGTCCCAGGAAGTGGTTCAGGAAGACGATAAGCTCGCCATTGAGCTGAATGTCACTGCAGTGGGGATCTCGCCAGGCCCAGCACTTGTAATTGTAAGCGACCGTCTTCATAGCATCAAGCTTTCAGCTCAGGCAGTGTCAGAAGCCTTGGGAGATGATGGATCGATACGGCTCAAAAAGCAAACAAACATTTCCAACAGTAATTTAAGCAAGATGGAAGTGAACGAAGATGATATTCAAAACTCAGTGCTAACCGGAGACAAATAACAAACTTGCTGATACAATCCAAATATCCAGGTCTAATCAAACAGTGGCTTCTGAGAGGATTAGCTGGGCCAGTTAAATTCAGGGCAGGGACATCATCTCAAAAGGTAATGTGACTGTTGTTGTTGTTGTTGTTTCAAAGAGGCTAACTTCATACAGATGTTCTCAAAGGACACAGGATGATCGTGGGGGCTAATTAAGAAGGTGTTTTAATAAACTTGAAAACTACACTGGTGAAAGGAAGTCCAGGAAAACTGCACTGAGGATGTTTTTCTTTTTTCATTACAAGAAAGCACCTGTTCATTCTTCAAGGATAACTTCGACTTTCCTACAAAAATTACCATGGATGATAATTACCTCATTTGATGTACAGCCCTGCTCTGTCCCTTTAGGCATCTTTTTCTTTACCCCAAACGCATAGAACACGTAAAAGGGATTCGGTTTGATTCCCTTGAGGATGCTCAGACTGACATTTTGAAGTTGTGTAAGCTGAAGAACACAGATCCTTGTGGGGAAGGGCTAGAGCGATGGAAACATCACCTTCACACTTGTATAACCTTGAGGGAGGATAGGTTGAAAAACAATGGCCTCATGCCATTGTTCAATGTGTTTTGTTCAATAAAGGTTCTATGATTTTAAACAATACTCGTAGATGTCTTTACCCCTATGTTCCGGAGTCCAGACAAATAACTACTCAGCTAACCTCTCAAGGTTGGAGGATGAAGTCCGTCCAGAGATATCTTACAAGAAAGGTTGCAGATCTACTTCTCAAAAATGAGCCCTTTAAAATCCCAGGGTATACAGTTCTACTCTGACACACATATGGTCACCAGGAGTCAGGGCCAGCTTCACAGTAACTGGTTGTGTGTGTATGTTCTCTTGCTCAAGCATGCATCTACATGCTTATATTTATCTAGTCATTCCTTGTATGTAGTAAGCACTCACTTGTTGCCAACAAAATTTTGGATACCACTGAAAATCAGGATGTAAATGAAATAAAAATACCCTACTTATATTTTCACTCAGGGAAGAAAATCCACTTACTCTGTGCAAATTTTGGAGGATTGTCATTAACGTCAGTAAGGGTAACTGTAAGTGTCGTGGTCCCAGACAGGCCTCCGGAGTGCCCGCCCATATCTTTGGCTTGAATAACGACCAGGTACTCCTCCTTAGCTTCTCTGTCCATGTTGGGAAGGGCAGTTTTGATAACAGCTGAAGGGGGAAACAGGAGAATTAATTTCACACAGAGAACACACCAGGTAAAGAATGTGTGAATCACATGCAAACACTAAAAATATACAAGTGTACACACATAATGTTCCCAGATGATTTGGTTTTCACATGATATTTAACTGGTTTATACCTGAGATTACAACATTAAAAAAGACTCTAACATAGATATTAGTAAACGTTTTGCCAAAGCACATATGATAGCCATTTAAAACATACAGGAACATTTGTATAAGTATAAATTAGAATATAAACTGAATGTCATATTCTTGTCTATGGAATTAAAAAATCCTAATGAGAACACTGTCTTGTCTACCAGAAAAACTCAAGAAGTGAAAGAGTCTTATAATTTATCACAGATCCCAATTCTTCTATAAAAGGAGTTAATAAACACATATCTTGAAGGTTCAGAGGTCAAGATAAATTATTCCGAAGCTGACAAATATGTTAGAGAGACGAAAAATACAAAAACAAATGTACTATTAGAACCAACTCAGATGAACCAACCAGCCAGAATCAAGACAGATAAGCAGAGCATCTAAGCCCTAGAATACCATTTGATTCTATTTAGATTATCAATGCTTAGTTACATATACCCTGCAAGTTCTCATAACAGTAAAACAAGACCCAAGAGCTACAGAAAGGAAATAAGCAAACACGATTCAGAGTGATAAATGTAACAGTGCTAATGCATTTGGGTTATTTCTTCTGATATAGTCTCATAGCTTTCTATGGCTCTGTCTGCTACTTTAGGTGCTTCACTAGTAAGATCATGGTCTCTAAATTTCTAATTGCTAAGGTATTTTGATAACGTCATTGAAGCTATTTTAATAACCTTCCTTCATTCCTCTCCACACCTATCTCCGAACTTCTTCTCCAGATAAACATGCTGACATTTGGTTGTGCATAATTGATGTGTGTATACTTAGGCATGCATATGTACTTTTTAACCACTGATGTGAGTATGATATAGACATTGTTGTGAGACTTCCCTTTTGCACCCAATAAAGATCTCTGAGATTCTATGTTGTCCACTGATTGACATCTGTCTCACTCCTCCTTACAACTACAGAAGTTTTCAGCATATACATGTGCTATAAGTAACTTAACCTATTGCCATCAAGTTGATTCAGTGACTCAAAGGGAACTTATATAGGATTTCTGACACTGTGAATCTTTGCCCATCCCTGGGTATGCTGGTGGATTTGAACTGCTGACCAGTGGCTAGGAGTCCCAAGCTTCTTCCACAGTACCACCAAAGCTCTGTTAGCATTCCCAGCTTGCCGGATATTTTAGTTATTTCAAATTTGTATTACCTTTTCAAATAATAACATCTTATGACATGGTAACAGAGTTTCCATGTCTCCTATTGTGCACAAAGTAGCCAAGAGTTGGGTTGACTGCACAGCAGTTCACAATAGCAAATATATCCTAAATGTCCTCTCCTACTGCTGAAAGCTCACACCATCACAATTAGTCTCCAGGAATGCCTCCACTGAGCATTCTGCAGAGACCAAACAGGCAGTGCCCTGAAGGTAAGTTCCTCCCTCACTTATAACCCAAAGAACACCATCCAAAGAAGCTTCAAAAAGGCCATTGTCTTTTCATTCCATCTTTTTGACACCCCCTTGCTAAATTCAAGTTGAGGCTCTTGATCACAACAGAAGTCATATTAGTTTTTGACTCATACTCTTAGGTTCTAATTAAATCATCTATCTGTAGAAGGTCTGCAACACATTCCGGAATCAATTGAGTAACAGGGAGGCGCAAGAGTGCCCAAGGAAACGGAATCTCCCTGGGCAGGAAGCAGTCTCCAGGAAGAACTGTGAGCTCTTTCGCACTGCAGTAGCCCTTGACATCACTTTTACATCAGGGCCTTCCATTCAGAAAACACTCAAATGCCTAATCTTATTTATGTGGAAACCATTAGAGTAACATAATAAAGTCTCTCAATACAAGAACTTGTTTCACAAGGGTATTGATCATATCATAATATAGCTCAAGGGATCGTAACTGTACTGTTGAAACAGAAGTAGGAAAATATAAATAGGAAAATAATAACTTCAAATTTTCAACAGTATGAGGCATTGTTGAGGGGGAAATAAAAAAGCAATAGAAAAAATAGCAAACCCTCATCATGCTGAGATGCTCATAGGGATATACATTTTCATAACTGGAAATATCTTCATCGTAAGTTCTTCTTTTCAGTGGAGTAGATGAGAAAACATGGTTTTAGCCCTGTGACACGTAGTGGTATAGATATGAGCATTTCTAAACCTTGGGTACCACTACAATGTAAGGCCACCACCAAAGAAAGTTAGTCACTGGACTTTGGAGTTTGATGGGATGCTTTTAAAAATCATAGAAAGATAGGATAATTCCCCAAGGAGTGCACTGATTTCTCCGCCCATAGGAGTTGACAGAATAAAGTTGAATGTGAAACTTGCTCAGAGTCAAAGAAGATTGGTATGTCTTATTCTCATCATTTTTTTAAAATAAATTGTCAGGCTTAAAAAAAAACTGTGATGTCTCTCAGACACTTGGAATTAAAATACTTTTGTGTTTCCACTGAAAATAGCAAATGGGGCATAGTGTCTATAACAGAATATGAGTTGGCAGAGGGGTCTGCTCCCCAAAGAGGGCAAGAAGAGCCTCGTGCATCTCCATCAGTTACAGAATTCTGTGTGTCCCTCAGCATCACAACAACATACTCCTATTCCCTGACCTAGTGCGGAAAGATGAAGATCCTGGGTTAGAAAGCACTTCAAATACATCCTTCCCAGAACAATGAGCCACATACACCAAGGATTCTGAACTAAGGAGGCACGGGACGAGGCAAAATGGAGTTCAGTTGTACAAGGTGCTGCAATCACTGAGAGCCAGGTTAATGGCAATGAACAACAAAATCCCCATTATGTTTGAAGTACAAAGTAGTCTCTAACCTTTCTTTTAGATGAGGCTTCTAACTCTTCCTCCTAAACTTTGCATGTAAAAACCACCTTGAGGGATTGCCTCCATGAAGTCCAACAGGGATACGCTTTGGATGAGGCTTCACCAATATGCAGTACTTCCAGTGGATGGTTGAATAGAGCAGAATGAAATTCCAGACCTCCCCACGGGCCTCAACTCAACATCTGACTGGTTATTGGGTGCTCTTGAGTTGGCTCAGACCCATAGTGATCCCATGCACAACAGAAGGAAACACCATGTGGTCCTCACAATTGTTCCTATGTCTGAGGCCACTGAGGTAGCCACCATGTCAACTCTTCTTGAGGGTCTTCCTCTTTTTCACTGCCCCTTCACTTTCACCACGCATGATGTCCTTCTCCAGGGACTGGTCTCTCCTGACATGTCCAAAGCATATGCGATGAAACCTTTCCATTCTCGTCTTTAAGAAGCACCCTGGCTCTCTTTCTTCCAAGAAAATTAGTTGGTCCCTTTCATCCGTCCATGATATTTTCAATATTCTTTCCAGACTACAATTCAAATGCATAGATTCTTCTTTTGTCTTCCTTATTCAGTGTCCAACTTTCACATGCATACAAGGCGATTGAAGATACCATGGCTTGGGACAGCTCTCAAGTTCTCAAGCATTCTTGCTTTTTAATGCTCTGAAGAAGTCATGTGCAGCAGGTTAACCTACTGTAATGCATCTTTTGATCTTCTGACTGCTGCTTCCATGAGCATTGATTGTGGATCCGAGCAAGAAAAGATCCTTGACAACTTCAGCCTTTTCTCCACTTATCATGATGTTAACCTTTTGGTCCAGTTGTGAAGATTTGGGTCTTCTTTACATGAAGTTGTAACCCAAACTGAAGGCTGCAATCCTTGGTCTTCATCAGCAAGTGCTTCAAGTTGTCCTCATTTTCAGTAAGCAAGGTTGTATCATCTGCATATTACAAGTTGTGAATGGTCCTTCCTCCAAACCTGATGCCACATCTCCTTCATATAAGCCAGCCTCTCTGATGATGTGCTCAGCATAGAGATTGATTTTAAAGCATGCAGTATGCCCTTGTTCTGTTTATACAACTGCCTCTTGATCTGTGTACAAATTCTGCCTGAGCAGAATGAAATGTTCTGGAATTCTTCTCCTTCTCAAGGTTATCTATAATGTGTTATGATCCACACAGTCAAATGCCTTTGCATTGTCAATAAAACACAGTACAGGAAGCATCTTTTTGGCTTCCTTTGCTTTGAGCCATGATCTATCTGGTATCAGCAACGATATCCCTTGTTTCATGTCCTCTTCTGAATCCACCCTGGTCTTCAGGCAGTTCCCCATCACAATGCACTTCTGCAACTACTTAATAGAATGAGGGTTATTAATAGAGCAAACTCTCTCTAAAGCCCAATAGCCATCTATTCCTTTACTCCTTCAGTCCAATGGGCAATATTGGCACTTATGTTGCTAACCTAATATGTTCCACTATCCTTCTTCTATCTTAATGTCAATCCCATTGTAAAGGGATTAACAATCCCTTTGTAAAGAGACCTTTCACTAAGCTTTCCTCAAGTACTTTGCTCCTGCCAGGATTCTGCAGATAGGGTTAGCTTACTGGCATTATATTATTAGCAGGCTTTCTGTGTTAGTCTGGGTAGAATAGAGAAACAAATTCACAAACACGCATATAAGGGCAAGAGCAATGTTCAAGAGCAATTGAACATTGAGAAAACATCCCAGCCCACTCCAGGTCAAGTCCATAAGTCTGACATTAGCCCACATGTCCGATACCAATCTGTAAAGTCCTCTTCAGATTCACATAACACATGCAATGATGCCGAATGTAGAAGATCACAGGCCAGTGGGTCGGAAGTGGCCAGTGGGTTGGATCCAGTGTCATTGGAAACATCTCAGTGCTGGCAGGGGTCTCTGCATCAGGGTGGGTCCATGTGTCTTGTCAGCTGCTATGTCTCCCAGGGTGTGAGCAGAGTCTCCCCCCTCCTAGGAGGAAGTACCGGGTTTCCCAGAATTCTCAGGAGAA